CGCCATGGTGGCGGTGGGGTTATGGTATGGGCAGGCATAAGCTACGGACAACGAACACAATTGCATTTTATCGATGGCAATTTGAATGCACACAGATACCATGACGAGTTCCTGAGGCTCACTGTCGTGTCATTTATCAGCAGCCATTACCTCATGTTGCAAGGATCTGTACACAATTCCTGGAAGCTAAAAATGTCCCAGTTCTTCCATGGCCTGCATACTCACCAGACATGTCACCCATTGAGCATGTTTGGGATGCTCTGGATCGACATGTGCGATAGCGTTTTACAGTTCCCGCCAATATCCAGCAACTTCGCACAGCCATTGAAGAGGAGTGGGACAACATTCCACAGGCCACAATCAACAGCCTGATCAACTCTATGCCAAGGAAATGTGTCGCGCTGCATGGGGCAAATGGTGGTCACACCAGATAACGACTGGTTTTCTGATCCACGCCCCTACTTTTTTTTTAAGGTAACTGTGACCAACAGATGCATATCTGTATTCCCAGTCATGTGAAATCCACATTAGGGCCTAATGAATTTATTTCAATTGACTGATTTCCGTGTATGAACTGTAACTCCGTAATCTTTGAAATTGTTGAATGTTGCGTTAATATTTTGTTCAGTGTAAAACCAGAAATTGGGGATTGTTTGCTGTTTAAATTAAACCCCATTGAAATGCTTGTGTGCACTGGGTGTTTTTCAATAAGCTAAAAAGGTAGTAAAGATCCCTAAAAGATATGAAAGTCCTGCAGGGCCTATTATTACTTCCACAAAGTCAATGCATGTTTATTTTCCATCCAAAGCAATATTTTCTCTCTCATTGCAAAACAAGCAAAACATAACTGAAAAAGAAGAGTGAAGAACATAGGCCTAGAGCTAGAACAAGAGAATACAAAACATGAACAATTACCATTTAGGCCCTGTTACCCTCCTCTGATGTGTGTTGCCCACAGTCACAGTGCTAGCTTTCCAGGAATCAGGAAACCTTCTCTTTCATGGAAACACTAACTAGTCCTACTTACGTCAGTCAAGAGGCCACCCCCAATTTTATAGTCATAAGCATTATTATGTACATGCCATTTTATTTTATTGAGAACATTTAAAACAAATGATTGACCTCAAGTTTCGGGAAGAAAATCCCTGCGGGAAGTTGTCTGACAGTGGCACCACTGGAAGGAACCTACTGTAGCCTAGATGTGTCCTTGATACCGGATGCTTACCTGACACTGATACCTAGAGATACAGTTAAAATCAATGTAAAGTATTCATCCCCCTTGGCGTTTTTCCTATTTTGTTGCATTGCAACCTGTAATTTAAATTGATTTTTATTTTGGATTTCATGTAATGGACATACACAAAATAGTCCAAATTGGTGAAGTGAAATGAAAAAAATAACGTGTTTCAAAAAATTATAAAATATAAATAACGGAAAAGTGGTGCGTGCATATGTAGCTATGAAGCCCCTAAATAAGATCTGGTGCAACCAATTACCTTCAGAAGTCACATAATTAGTTAAATAAAGTCCACCTGTGTGCAATCTAAGTGTCACATGATCTCAGTATATATACACCTGTTCTGAAAGGCCCCAGAGTCTGCAACACCACTAAGCAAGGGGCACCACCAAGCAAGTGCCACCATGAAGACCAAGGAGCTCTCCAAACAGGTCAGGGACAAAGTTGTGGAGAAGTACAGATCAGGGTTGGGTTATAAAAAAATATCCGAAACGTTGAACATCCCACAGAGCACCATTAAATCCATAATTTAAAAATGGAAAGAATATGGCACCACAACTAACCTGCCAAGAGAGGGCCGCCCACCCCAAAACTCACGGACCAGGCAAAGAGGGCATTAATCAGAGAGGCAATAAAGAGACCAAAGATAACCCTGAAGGAGCTGCAAAACTCCACAACGGAGATTGGAGTATCTGTCCATAGGACCACTTTAAGACATACACTCCACAGAGCTTGGCTTTACGGAAGAGTGGCCAGAAAAAAGCCATTGCTTAAAGAAAAAAATAAGCAAACACGTTTGGTGTTCGCCAAAAGGCATGTGGGAGACTCCCCAAACATATGGAAGAAGGTACTCTGGTCAGATGAGACTAAAATTGAGCTTTCTGGCCATCAAGGAAAACGCTATGTCTATGACCTCTCATCACCCCAAGAACACCATCCCCACAGTGAAGCATGGTGGTGGCAGCATCATGCTGTGGGGATGTTTTTAATCATCGGCAGGGACTGGGAAACTGAAGGAATTGAAGGAATGATGGATGGCACTAAATACAGGGAAATTCTTTAGGGAAACCTGTTTCAGTCTTCCAGAGATTTGAGACTGGGACGGAGGTTCACCTTCCAGCAGGACAATGACCCTAAGTATACTGCTAAAGCAACACTCGAGTGGTTTAAGGGGAAACATCTAAATGTCTTGGAATGGCCTAGTCAAAGCCCAGACCTCAATCCAATTGAGAATCTGTGGTATGACTTAAAGATTGCTGTACACCAGCGGAACCCATCCAACTTGAAGGAGCTGGAGCAGTTTTGCCTTGAAGAATGGGCAAAAATCACAGTGGCTAGATGTGCCAAGCTTATAGAGACATACCCCAAGAGACTTGCACCTGTAATTGCTGCAAAAGGTGGCTCTATAAAGTATTGACTTTGGGGCGGTGAATAGTAATGCACGCTCAAGTTTCTGGGTTGATGTCGTATTTCTTGTTTGTTTCACAACAAAAAATATTTTGCATCTTCAAAGTGGTAGGCATGTTGTGTAAATCAAATGATACAAACCCCACAAAAAATCAATTTTAATTCCAGGTTGTAACGCAACAAAATAGGAAAAATGCCAAGGGGGGTGAATACTTTCGCAAGCCACTGTATAGGCTTAGGCTACTTGCTGACCCTCAGTGTTCAGTAGGTCATACTTTACATGATGTTGCACCGGCCTGCCCTGGGCATAAGCAACATAAGTGGTCGCTTAGGGCCTCTGGCCGCTAGTGGGCCCCGACCAAAAACATTTGTATTTTTTTTAAGAACTCAGTCGGGGTCTCAACTTATTGTTGAGAGTTAGAATAGTAGAATTCACAAGGTGCAATTTAGAAATGTTGTTGTGCATCAGCAGTTTTTCTCTTGTTATGTCAATCACTGACAGTCACTCAATTAGCCCTATGGCAAAATGTTTAGAATTTCTGGAAATTTGCTGTAAAACTGCACATTTTTCTCTAGAATTGCATGAAATGTGTTGTAAAATTGCCAAATTTTCTCTCCTCTCCATGGCAAAATGTAAAAAATTTACACAAACTTGCTTTAAAACTGCAACATTTTCTCTGCGCCCCATGGCATCATTTGTAGAACTGCAGGAAATGATCTCTAAAACTTTTTTATTTACGCCATCAAGAGGGGGCCACTAAAATGTTTTTTCCGTGAGCTGGGGCCCCCCAACAACATTTTGCTTAAGGCCCTCAAATGGCAAGGGCCGGCCCTGATGTTGCACAAATGCCTTGTAGTAACAGATGTGGTAAAATATATTGGCACCCTTGCATTTTACAATGAAGTGCAATTGAGCAGAATGTTCCATTTTTTTCTTTTCAAAACTGGTTGAATGGCTATTTTTACCCTGTAGGTACCTGCAACTTACCACAGATTAATTAAATTACACAGTAAATGAGATTCACTGCCTCCAACCAAATTAATTAGAATTTTGAATTATACAATCCAGGAATTGTTTTATTCTTCTTTGATGTGAAAAAGTCTAAATTTCAGTTGTTTTTTTCTTTTCTTATTTTTGGTTCTGTGCAGTTCAACAATAAGTTCAACATATTTTAGAAGAAAAAAGGCTGCGCAATTTGGATCTTTTGGTCATTAATTAGTAGTTTGACCAATCAGATCAGGTCTGAAAAAGAGCTGATATGAAAAGATCTGATGTGATTGGTCAAAGGACCAATTACTGGAAAAAATATCTGAATCGGGCTGCCTGTGTAAACATGTATATTTGACCACATCTGTACACTGAATGTCGATTACATGTAATACATTAACTTGTGTAGTTTTATGTATCTTATTATTTGAACTTTGTACTGGACCACTGACTTT